ATTGGCTGTATTTTTAATTTATATGCCATCCAGAATTATTACGACTTGTGATTGTAAGCCGCCCTGAGTCCCCTCAGGGAAAAGGGCGGCCTATAAATAAATAAAACAACAACAACAAAACAACAGTGTACACATGAGGGCTGGCCAGCTGGTCTTTGCAGGGGATAGAGCACTGGCAAACAGCTGGAAAATGGCCAAAAACAGGCATGCATGCACCGGCCAGCTGGTCTTTGGGTTTCCGGTGCCCCAGTGTACACACATGAACGTGTGTACACACGGGTTCCGGTTTGGGCAAAGATGCCAGAAAGGATCGCCATCACTGCCCTAGGTAATAGATTAGGGGGATATATATGCTTAAGGGATCTGTGCTTTTTGTCTGAATATATTGTCCATTCCTGTTTATGTTTGTCTTGCTTATTGTATTGGATGTATTTTTAATTTATATGCCATCCAGAATTATTACGACTTGTGATTGTAAGCCGCCCTGAGTCCCCTCAGGGAGAAGGGCGGCCTATAAATCTCAATAAAATGCTAAAAAAAATGCTAAAATGCTACGACTTGGTAAGCCTTAAAAATGATTTTTAAATAAAAAAAGAAATGAAAAGCAAGAAAGCTACCTACTTAAGGTGCCAAAGGTTGATACCAAATATAAAAGAATGAAAAGAGTAGTTAAAATGATTAATTCAACTCAAAGACAGAGATGAAAAGGAAGGATTCCTTTCCCAAAAGGGGGAACATGATAATAATACTTTCTCAGAAAATAAGCTAAGAGTTTTATAACCGTCATAAATTCAATCAAATCTTAATGTAAATAATGAAACAAAGCATCCCTATCTAGCAAGAAATCCCTTTTACCCTGTTTTGATAACATAAATTCTTTTTTAGTGTCCCAGTTGTTCAGTGGTTCTGGGAATAAATCTTTCTAGTGCTTTCATATTAAAAAAATTAATTAGATTCTGAATTATATATTTTGAAATAAATCAAACAAAGAGCATTATATCAACGACAGCTATTTCTCTTACCTGGATATTTTCCTCCTCTGCTCCTCTTAATAAAGCAAACTATCAGCAAAATCAGGACCAGGAGAGCGATGGCACACATCAATCCAATAAACCAGCCCTGAGTTGCAATGTCCCCTTGATTCTTAGTATAGGCTATTTGAAGGAGTTGAAAGAAGAATAATTAATAGAATAGAACCAATCCACATTGTAGTGATAAATTACCAAACCAGAGTTATTTGATCCAGTGTCATTGATTCCCAATATTCATATTGTAGGATTGATGTCCTCAATAACCACGTTCCTCCAGTTTGCGTGATCGGCATGTGTATATCTATGTGCACAAGATTTTATTCTGTAGGTCATTGTACCACCAGCTAATGTCTATCAACCATAGTCTATATTCATTTCAACAATGATGAAAAATTGGGAAGAGGAACATGTACCAACTTGGCCAACCAAGGAAGGATCTATAAAGAGGAAGCAAGAAAAAAACAAACCTAAAACAGCCGGATAACAGAATTGATCTCTCTTTACAGTAAAGGAAAATGTCTTTGATACCTCAAAAGAGGTTGTGAAGTTCTCCACAAGAAGGTTTAATTTTATCCAGTACGTAGATAAAACAAATAATTATAAAATTATTTTTATTTTTTAAAATAATAATAAAAAATCATTCCAACACATCATTCAGTTCAATGAATATTGTTAAGTGGGATCAGAATCAGAAGAAATCCCTTGTAGTACCTGAATAACCAAGTTGTGCTCTTTCATCTTACAATTTTGGTCAAGTTTAATATCAAATCATTAAGATTCAATTGCCACCACAATGTTACAGAAATTCAAAAATATGGGTGAAACTCTAGAAAGATTTATCCCTGCAGAATAATTCCTGACAGAAGTGGAAGATTCTACCTCTTTTTCTACTACTGTTCCATTTGCTCTGCCCACTCCATTCCAATATAATGACTGGTATATTATTGGAAGAGAAAAATCAATGTTTTAAAAGAGGGCATTGAAACCACAGGGAATAGAAGTCTAAGATAAACCAATGTTCCCTTGTGAGGCAATTGCATGTGATTCATTTTTCTCTGTAGCTCTTATTGACTTCCCAGACCCAATGTATCAGTGTAATGGCCGGGGGTAAGCAATCTGTACGGGACTGCCAATTCCCACTAGTACAGAAGTGACTGGCACCACTCCATTGCTATGAGAAAGCCGTCACGATAACAGGACTTGCCAGAGGTACTACGGGATGCTGATCACCCATTGCTGAATTATTTCACTAATACTATTTTATATTACTATCCCATTTATATTAAAAGGGAATAAGCATACCACTGCATTATGGTTTGTCACCTTGCGAAGTTACACAATTCTACAATCTTTACAATCAGTGGTAACAAATGAAGATGTTATTACAATGGGAATGCAGCATTTACATACTTGTGTCACACATACTCTGATATGAGCATGGAAACTGTGGTAGTTGCATGACAATGTCATCATGCACTTATTTTAATTTCTCCCCCTCTGAAGTCACTTATTTTTACATTCATCTGAGCTTTTTGAGATCAAAGCTAATATAATTTCCAAAGTATATTCATGCCTTTAACATAGCTATTTGTTTTTAACATAGCCATATGCCTTTAACATAACCAGTATCTTGATGTACAGTACATGAGAATTAGTTATCATTTATCTCATTATTCTTAAAATAGCTCCATTACAAATTGCTCTGTATCCAACTCAAAATATTTTCCAAGATGTTACAAGGAGGAAAATCCTTTAATTTGAACCGAAATGGTAGAATTTAGTTAGATTACAATATAAATGGAGCAAAGATTCAGGACAGAAATTTGGAGCAAAATAGGGGTCCCTTTAGATAATGGCTTTGCATCATTTCAGAAACAAACTTGTGCAATCTTATATAGGTGAGTCTTCAAATTATGGCAATTAGTTCAGTGACCATTTGAAGTTGGATCAGTCCCCAAAATTATGGCTGTGGCAGCATCCCCAGCAACCTGAGAACTAATTGAATAGAGCATGTGCTGAAAAAATGAGGGGGGCTACTTTTGTTCCTCCAGGTGGAGCATATGTGTGAGGATTTTTATCCTGGCAGATTAGCTAAGGGGTCAAGGATTTGATAAAATGAGATTGTTTGTACTTCCCTATAATCAGCTATTCTGCAGAGTAAACTTTTACTAATCTATGATATTCCTTATAGATATTTTCAGTGTGGTGCAAAAAAAGCTGATAACAAGTAATTTGAGCTTATTTGTGGATTGAAAAATTGAAGTCATAAATCCACTTAATGAAATACTATCCACAATGAATTTTCTAAGTAGTCTGTTAAATACTAAATAACAGGAATAATTAAGTACAGTCTTATATACTGTATGAATGGGAACTATCAATTCCTACTTTTTGTAGCACTTGATTTCCTTGGGCAAAGACAACGTGAGATTTCTAAAATAAAGAGCACTTTAAAACAAAATAGTGCATTTTCAAGCTTCATGAAAAAGCACCACTCATCAAGGTTGTATGAAAGCATTACCGCAGGGATGACTCACTTGGAACAAATTGTGAAAAGCCTTAATGGTTGAATTCATGACATGAAAATCAATGAGTATTTTTCTTCCTCATGAATTAAACTAGAATTGTGCTATTAGTCCAGAACCTAATGGCTTTATCAGAATACCAGTAGGAAGTAACACATATAAGCAGCTTTCAAGATATCTACAATAAATTAAAAATATCACAAATAGCACTAATGGAAGATTATTGCAGCCATACAGAACTGAAGTCCTGCCAATATTGTAATGAAGTCTACATAGATAGCTAGCAGACCTTTTTACACTCTCTCTGGGCTTACTTACTTTAAGTGCTAAGTTCTGTACTACTTGCTAACAATAAGAGTTTGATTACAGGAGGAATGCAAATATCCCAGAGGCCACTTGCTTTTAACTCAATCCACATATGCCGTGTACATGTTATATGATTTCCTATCTTCACATAAAATCATCTTCAGATTTTCTTCAATGCTGGAAAATCACCACAATCATCAAAACATACTACGACCGGTAGTATACATAATAAATATGTGTCCAGTCTCTGAAGTTTCAAACTAGAAAAATAGTTATTTTAATAACCTTTTAAACTAAACATGATATAATAGGTATTCTAGGTTTAACAGGTGAGATAGTTCTCCAAAACATGATGGGTTTTCTTTGGTTTATATAGCAATAGAGACAGCCAAAGTAGGTAATGTTGCTATTGGGTGAACCTGGTTGGACAGTTACGATTCTAGCAGCTGTCAAAGGATATTGTTAGTCAATCTTAACAGTCTTAGACCTCCCCAATTAGATGGAAATGAGACTTCTGGTTAGGCCAGGAATAAGAACAATTTATTCACTTCTGAACATGTAAAAAAACTCTCAAAATTATTGGAAAGATATACCAGTACATAGTTCCATATAGAGATTATTAAATTAAATTAATTTTAAATTTAATTTTAAATTAAACCAATGTTTTAAGTCGGTATAATTTCAGAATATATTAACAAGAAACAAAATTTATTGAACTATATGTCCACAGCAGCAAGAATAACTCAATATTGGGAAAAAAACCTAAATTATATTCAATTGGGATCTTAAACTTCAACAATATGAGATGACGACAAAACAAACAGCATATATTTGCAACAGAAGTTTAACCAAATTAAATCAAGAATGGTTTCCATATACATGATGAAGAAGCAGCAAAGCAAATACAAACACTAACACTATGGATTCTAAGAGGGTCTAAAGGTTTATAAATTCTGCAAATCAGCTGGTATATAAAGAAGGGGGAATCAAAACTCAAACACTTATCTACTGTCCAAGCAGCTTTTTTCCTTTTCCTTTTTAAAACATTTATAAACAATAATAATTAACAGTACAGTGAAGACCTTAGTATAAAGCATTAGAAAATGGAAACCCTTTTAATATAATAAAATAAGTTAATGCATTTTGCATTTGTCTATGAATGCCATGCTTAGCTTCAATTGTACAATTCAAGCAACCTTAAGTTTATTAAAGTTCTAAAAATAATATTTAACATTGATATTTTCCCCTATTTTTAAAGATTTAACTTACCTAAGCCATCATAATGTTAACAATGTCCAGTAGCACAATTACTACTGTACTCAGTTTAGTAATTAGGCTACTGGACATTGTTAACATTATAATGGCTTAGGTAAGTAAAAACTTTAAAAATAGGGGAAAATGTATTATTTTCATCTTATATTACTTGAAAAAAAAAAGACTACTGTATGTGTACCCCTGACTGGTCAGCAAAGTGGTTCGTCCTTGTTTCAGCTTATTATCTCCAGCTTTATCTAATTCAAGATATTAATTTTACAGGCCTAGATGAGGAGAATAAGTATCTAATTCTAAGCTCTAGATCTGTCCATGTTTCCAGCCTGCCTTAATGATCTCAGTTATTATCAAGCTCTCAACTGCAAAAACGTCCATCCTTAATATTTCACACTTCAAATGGGTAGTGGGATATATACATTTTGTCCACTCCCTATACTTTCTCCTGTCTCCTACTCCATAAATTGGCTACAGGTGTGTATACTGTGTTCTTTGCTTTCAAAAGCCCTAAATTCCATTTCTGGCCACTGTGATTAAGAGACTGCTCAGTTGTGATAAGAAGGCTGCTGTGTGGATACAACATCTGAGCAGGCAGGATAAATTATTGCCTCATTTGATATAAAAGAAGAAACTAATGTTCTGTTGTCAATGAAACAGAAATGAAAAAAATATCTGTATCTAGTTTACTACAGGATGCTTTCCCATCAAATCACACACACCCCCCCCCCCCAAATGTCAGGGGCATCTCCTGGCCTTTAATTTTTGACATTTTCAGTGGTTCTACTGGCAGTGAATATACTGTACAGAACCATTTCCTGTTAAAAGCTGTAACAATATGGGACAAAGGGAACTTTGAACTGATGCAATTCATCTAATGGAAGGAGTATGTTATTAATCGCCTGGATCTGAGGCTTGCATTAGGCTAACTGAATCTTCAGAATGGGGAGGAAGGGAATACAAAATCATTCTAAAGGTTTGGGAATCAAAGTTGATTTTGTTAATGATGCAAGTATAGAAAAGCTT